AATAAATCAAGAGTACTATATAGAGAAGAGCAAAAATTGAATGACTATATGCATCAGGAATATTTCCTAGGAACAAATGGACACAGGGACTTCTGGCCAACACAGGAAAATCACATATAATGAGAAAGTCTTCAAAATTCTCTATACTGTGAGTGGATATACTTTGGTGGCAAATGCAACTACATTTTTTTTTCCTCAGAAAAAGTAATAAAGTGACTCCTTGAGCGTACAGTATGCTTCATACAACCATGATTGCTAATTAGAAGATGTCTTGATTGAAGTGCTTACCCCAGCAGGTTTCCTAGATACTCCCAACATGTAGCAGTAAAGTTCTACTAAATGGAAACACAAGACTAAACCAGTCATTTGCAGAACCAAATTAACAATCAATTCTGCCACAGTATTCTGTGCCCTGGTTTGCTTTGGGGTTATAATCACTTTCCTGCTACTTGTGTGTGATATCTAAAAGCTACAGCAGCACGACATGAAGTGGTGAACTCACACTGGCTTGGGACAGAATGGTCAGTTCAGGCTGCAGGCAAATATATGCAGCAGGTCATCTGTTTCTTCCTACCAACTCGTACAAGTTAATGAACTGGTATGCAGAGTAGGAAACATAAAGTGAAGGAATTTTTTTAAATGGACCTTTCAATTTCCCAGTATTGTATCCTGTTATGTGCCATTAATTTAATAGGCTCACTAATATCAGGTTTTGGTAATTTGAAAATGTATCTATTAAAATGAAATTAAAATAATAATGATAATAGAATATAGGTAATGAGTTATCTGAGCAGATCAAAAGAACAAAATCCTGTATACATACAAAAAAAAAACAATGAAATGCATCTTTGGATTTCAGGTATAATATATATTATTAGTCTTAATACTGGCATTTAAATTTCAGATAATAATATCACGTTCAATGTTTTAATTTTAATTAAATCAGCCTTAGATGTTTGTATCTTGTGTGTGCGTGTGTGCATGTATGTGTGCGTGTCTGTATGTGTTTTTATATTTTAGTCTTTTTAAGTCCAAAATAAACTAACAAAAGCCAAGCATGGTGGTGCACACCTATGAACTCAGCACTCAGGGAAGCAGAGATAGGAGGATTGAAAATTGGAGCCAAGCTTGAAAATTTAGTGACTCACTGATACTTTATCTCAAAATAAAATTTTAAAAAAGGGCTGTGGATGTAGCTTAGAGTTAAGGCCTTGCATTCAGTTCCCAGTACTATCAAGGAGATAAACACGAAAAACAAAACAGAACAAAAATCTAATGAGTTTATACCTACTCTTATACATACTTCGATAGTATTATGATAAAAATAAGTTATGCCAACATGAGCAATACTTAAAAATCTTCATGTTAAGGGAAATCTATACTTTATTCAAGTTTGAAATCTGATAATCTCACAGCAAACTTTTTCTTAATTGAATGTATTATAGAAGAGTTTGCTCAACACTTCTATGAGAAAATTACCTCAATAAATGTCATCCAGGAGACAGAGACTGAAGAGCGTTAAGGGGACCAAAATGAACTACCCAGAAATTCTGAATTATTTTTTTAATCATGTGAATGGACATACTTCAGATGTATGCAGCATATATTTTTCTTCTTCCCTAGACTCTGTCTTAAGGAAGTTTTCTTAACTGATTATCTCTATCTTCCCCTTCAATTTATTTAACAATGTATTAATTTAAGTGAATACATTTTGAAATGGTCACAATTAAGGAAGTGGCAAATTAGTCCATATGTCACAAATATTTCAATCCAACAATATTTATTGAGCATATACTGAGGACAGACAGAACACTGTGAATGTGCAGAAAAAAAAATTCCTATTAATAATCATTCAGAGAAATATACGTAAGGAAAATTGCAAACAATTTAGTAAAATAAAGCATGCACACATAAGTTTATTATATGTATGTTTATACACAAATACAATTATATATACAGTAATGGTATATGTACATAATTTATTTTATATAGAGTGTGTAGAAACTGTTCAAAAGCTAGAATGATAAACTTTAAAGAGGTGACAATAAAAGTAGGAGAGACAGGGAAAACTTTACAGAGGAGGTGATTATATTCAGTCATAAATACCGAGAAAGCTTTCTGAAGTGGACTAGGTGGGGAGATTTTTCTAGGCAGAAGGGACAGATATGCTTTAGGACAACACAGGCTAGATTTTTAAAAATCTAAGTATATATTCTGTATTTTGTGACAGAATTAAATACCTATGAAAGAAAAATATTATGTTTGACTAGGACTAAATATCGTATTTAAATTTTTCCAGTTGAATGTATTTAAGCTTATTTAATCAGACTGAGTTTCTTTCTAAAACCAAAGAAGGAAACATTATCATATAAAATGTCCTTATATGGGTATGAAGTTAAAATTAAGTTAATGATATATTTTTACAATACATCTGATTACCTTCCTGATTAGTGCTTTATCATATTTATTCCCATACCTTGCAATAAAATGGGGCTGGTAAAATAGGTTCATTGAAACCAATGCAAAACTATGGATCATCAAACACCTTATTAGCAAACACAGTTAAACTCACTAATAATTGAATCCTTCACATAATGCACTTGAAAATACTCAGCAAAATTTCCAATTAGGTGCATTAAAAGTGAGATAAATATATTTTACTAGACATCTGTCTTGGTTACTTTTTTCTCGCTGCTGGGACAAAATATCTGACAACCAAAATTAAGGAAGGAAAGGTTTATTTCGCTTACAGTTTGTGGAGGTTTCAGTCCGTACTAGGCATGATTATAAGGCAGAGTGGCACGTGGCAGAGGGCTGCATCTCAGGGCGGCAGCACAGCCAAGCCGCCAGCACACACACACACACACCAGGGCGGAAGTGGGGGAGGAATCTCCCAAGCAGCTTCCTCCTCTCCCTTGCATATGCAAACTATCCACCCCAGGGCGGGTGTAGCTCTCACACCCACAATCATTCAACTCTAATAGCCTGCCCCATGTCCGCATGAGGCATTGGGGGGACACACAGACATAAACCATAACAATATCTATTAAAGAAAAAGCAGACCTTACTAAAAAGTACTAACTAGGAAGTACTACATTAATCATATGACAGTCATTGATATTTCTTTAGCTTAAATAACCGGAACTATGAAGTTGGAAATTTTGCAACACTTTTGCTAAATTTAAGGACTCTTAAGAGCTAATCAAGAGTTTCTGGCTGAAGAATTTGGGCGTTGCTCATTCAGGCTTCACGGATGACCCAGCAGGTGCTCCTTACTCTCTCGCTGGGGCTGTCTCCCCACTCTTCTGTGATCACTGTATCACCAAACATGGATGGCTTCCTTAAAGGCAACCCCAGCTTGCTTTTGCTTATTTCCAGTTCTCAACTCCTCTTCTCGGCTCCCTCTACCCAACATTCGCAGCCTCATTGGGGCCATATGCCAGGAGGTCTTTGAGAAGGCATGCTATCCCTTCCTTCCTGCAGTCTGTAATAGTCACTTCCCAAACTTGAGCTATTAAGCCATTCTGCTGTCTCTTGGACTCTCACTGCTTAGACCATAATCTGCTCTCATTTCTCACCAAGGGCTCAACTTCCTTTTCTCTCTGGAGGCCTCAACTTTTGAAACACTTGCACTAAGTTCTCAAGAACTCATATATACTCTGTTATCGGCAAACTGCCCTACCTCTTTAACATCATCTCTAAACAGTCTCTAGATGTTGGGAAAACTGCCTTTCTCTAACACTCTGCTTCCCTCCTGGCTTCCTAACATTCCAGTGCCATTTTAAGTCAAATATATAGTGAGTGAGCAGTTAAGAGAAAAGATTACTCCACAAGGAGTCTCCTAAAGTGATTCTTTCCACCTCCAGACAAATTACCTTTGTTGATCATGCAATTCCCTTACAAGAGACTATCTGAATTTTCTAACTCTATTTTTCTTCCCAGGAAGACTTTGATGAAAAAAAATCTTTGATTTGATTTGAAGAGCCTTGGTTTTGCACTTAATTTCACAGGTTTGATGATTGCCCTTCAGTCTTATACTTGCATGTGTGTCATGTAAGATTCATAACCCTTTGCAGCCTAAATTGCATTGTTTTCTTAAGAGATTGGATCTTGCTGTATTTTCCGTCTTGGACCTGAATTCCTGGGCTCAAGAAATCCTCCATCCTCAGCCTCCCAAGTAGCTGGGATTGCAAGTACACACCACCACCTGCAGCTGATCAAAGTTTGTTTTCTTTTTCTTTGTTTTGCTTTTACTTTTTAAAAAGTTGCCTTATTCTTCTAATGCAGAAAAGATCTTTGAAAGTCTTTATGAAAATTTATTGAGAATTTACATGAAAATAACACTAAAATTGTATACTTGAAAATTTCACCTTTTTTTTTTCTTTTTAGAACTGACTATATAGTTTGTGTAACTATGCTTTGGACACCCTATCTCTGTAGTTCTTACAAAAATAATTACTATAAAGGGAAGTCATACTGCTTTCCAAATTGTTCCTTTAGTTCTTTGTTCTAATTTCTTAAAAACTTACTTTCATTTTTATATCTTTTTACATTATCCAAATCCTTTTCACACACATTACATTATTTTCATAATACTGCTAATATTTAATCATGTTTATAAATAAGGAGACCTAACTTTAAAGAAATTATTTTAATTTCATACTGATTCTTTTAAAATTAATATATTTTGATAAAATTTATTTAACTATTATATCTCTAAATACAAGAAATTTCCAAATTGAAAAATTGTTTCATAAAATCAGTGAGGTAGGTTTAACAGATGTAGTTTAAGTTTTAAAAATTAATAGAGCTAAGGCTTTCAACTTTCAGATGCAGTAAGGCTGGTAATGCATGTTCTCACTAGGATTAAAATCAAGCCTAGGAAAAGTTAGACAAATTGTATAAATCCTAAATTAAAAGCATCAGAAGGCTGTGACAACTACAAAGAATTAGATTAAAATTTTAGAGAAAAGAGTACCTTTGGAAAGGGAACTGTTGATCTCAAGTCCTTCCCACTGAGGGCATTTGCCCATTCCGAGACCAAGATAAGAGTTAGACTTGGCTCAGGTCTAGATCTTCTGTTGGGGAGAAGAGAAATCAGGAAAATTTTGGCAATCATGTGGGGCTGGTATAAAACAAATTGGAAACTTGAGGAAACTCAAGAGTCCTAAGGAAATAGTACCTACATTCTGGGCTGGCAAAGAATCTAGAAATTATGCAGAAGAGTCTATAAGAGAAAATTTGAGCTTCCTCAATCTCAAGTAGTTAGAATGTAATGTGAGATCAGGGGTAGGTGATTAGCAGTAAACCATGATCTCTCCTTGAGCTATTCACCAGATTTGGGGGTCCTATAGGGTATGAGGTGGAGGAGCTATGTGGGAAGCTCTGAAGGTCACAGTTGAATTTTATAGTTTTTTCATACTGAAGAGCCAATGACCTACCAAACACTCAATCTAAATGCCAAGATTAAGGGTCTCTATGTGTTTTTCTTTAATTGTTCTCTTTATTATTATGTAATGACTCTATCCTTGGTAATATTTCATATTCTAGAGTTTGCTTTGTTGGATGTTACTATGTCATGTCCACTTTTTAAAAAATCAGTTTTAAGTAAGTACCAAGATGTTTACCTTTCTCATGCATCAAAGTTTTTCTCAGACTGACAGTATGGTAGAATTCTTGTGTGTTGTTAAGTGGCCAAAACATTTTCACGTTACGGGCAGAGTATCCAGCATCTGTAGGTATGATGGCCATGCTGTGAAAGATATGCAGCAGATGTGACATTCATGTCCTTCAAATATGCTCTCAACAATCATATTGCAGAGGTGCATGAGACCAGTGGTCTTCTGCACTTGGGACAATCTCACAAGCACACTGGAGTAGTGCCCAGGAATTCTCACTGCCCCAGCTGTAGCTCATCCTTTTTCATTTCCAGTCAGTGTGCAAACGAGTGAGCCATGACAGTGAAGATTTATTCTAATTTTTCAACGCATGTCATTTCTTGGAAATTTTAACTAAACTTAGCTAAAAACCTATTAAACTGATAATATGCTCAGTACTAATGAAGGCAAAGTTGTACCTGAAACAAAACATTATGTGCAAATACCCACTCCCCAAAAATTCCACACAGAATACTTCCTATGCAGATTTTTATGCAAGTCTAACTAAAAAGTCATCTCCATAAAGGAGGCTGAAAGATGAGACAATTTTTGAAAGGTAAGCCTTTGAGGATGGTACAAAATTTTTCTCTACCACTTACTTTTAAACAAGGGGAAAGATATGCTTTCTCTGCTTAAACCTACAGAGGAGGTTTAAAAAGACCACTTAGATGAGTCAACATCTGTCTTTTAGTGTTTGAGAACTAATACTTAAGAAATTCAAATTTAAAATATTAACACAATATCCTAGTGCCAGAGTAAAAAGGTGGTCTATGTTGCGATCTGAGTTTTTACTGATGACAAAATATGCCATTTGTCAAAGGCCCCATATAGTAGGGAGCTTGTTTTTAAGACAGTGCCCAAGAGTTGGCCTATCAATAGATTTATCAGATTTGCAAAGAAAGGAAAAGAGGCTATGAGTGGACAACCATTTCTTCAAGGGTGGGGATATCAGATGTTTGCTAATGGGAAATATCCAAATGTGCCTGTGGGGGAATAACCTTTGACATCCCCATACCCAAAAAGCACTAGCTCCAGATCACAACCATAAAATTCAAGCACGGCATTTCAGAATTCAAGCTGTCCGCGCTGTCTCTGCGTGTTTCCTGGAGAGTCAAGAGGAGCAGCTAATGAAAGAGGCTCACCATACTTCCCTATCGCACAACTAGCTTCCCAGAATAATGTGGGTACACACTGGAGACAAGGCAAGCTTTAGTTTCAAATGAATTTCATAATTTTTTCTTTCAGAATGAATATTTTATTTATTATACTGAGAATTTTTTGGAAGTAAAGTGATATATTGTCTAGTTGATCTAATTTTCAGTTGCAGCAGGGAAAAATCGGGTAGCAGTAGTTATCTGAATGAATGCCATTATAGGCAGAAATTGTTCTTTCTTTTGGTACCCTTTCAAAGAAAAGCTGGATGCAATCAATCTCCTTTATATCTCCAGAAAATACAAGAATAGTAACTCCTGAAATCCTTTTCTGTTGGATTAGTGGCTGGGATCTGAACAAAGAAATGTGGATGGAGATGTATTTCATAGGCCTAACTATAAACCACGTCAGAGGTTGCCTATCTAATTTTTCTCTTTACCTTATTGTTAAAAGTGAAAGAATAATGTTTATGGAGCTGCATGATGGGAAATCAATATCCTGAAATCACTGCTTGAAAGTCAGCACTACCTGTGAACCCCCAGCAAATCATCTAATCCTATGCAGATTGTAACATAAGCAAAAGATAAGTCTGAATTGTTTTAATACAATGTGATTTTAGTTTGCCCTCCACAGAAGCTGGAGTTAATTACTTTGTTGAGTACACAGCCTAACTCTGTTTCCCAGAATTATGGGATTATTAGCAGTTATATGTATCATGACAACTGACTGCTTTAAAGCAGTGAGCAGTAACACCAGGTAGATAATCATTTCCTTGGAGGACAAAGTATCCAAAGTGCCTCCAGATAGCCAGAAGGGAATTACAGAAACCTGCCACTTAGGAGGGAAAAGGACAGGAATATGTCCTAAGGCCATATTTTGGAAAAAAGAATAGTGTATATCCAATCTCCACAGGGATAATTAAGGCTTCCCAAGAATTTAAACACAGTCCAAACCTAAAATATAACTCCTATTTTCAAAGGGTGGAGAAGAAATTGCAAACTTTGGTTTGACTAATCACAGAAAAATTTGGTGAAGGCAAACTTGAGCTTGACCTAGTTTGACACAAGTTTGCCTTGATCTAGGATCAGATTAAGCAGAGGAAAACACGGGGGATATTCATGTTTAGAGGACCATCCAGAGGACTCTTCTTGAAACAAGAATAATTATCTCCATTTTGGCTAAACCTGGCCCTATTTCCATGTATTGATATGTGCAGAGTTGGTTAGCACTTTTCCTTATCCCTTCAATTGGCTTTAAGCAATGCTTATTGGTCCAGCCAAGGTGCTGATGTGCAGTCTTTGAAGCAAGGGGAAAGGGCAGTGTCTCCCTGCCCCCATAGCTCCCAAACAAAACATGTGTGGGCCGGGAGGGATAGAGAGCCATGTTCCATGCTGTCACTTGGGATCAAGCCTCAAGATAGAGGTTATGACTTCTCAGGACATCAAAGATTACACATCAGAGCTGACGTATCAAATCCAAAACATTAGATACTACTTCAGTTGTGTCATGCAGATAACTCTTTCTGCATATCCTTCTCTCTGCATATTGCAGGAGTGATTTCAGGCCTCCTAACTAGCCAAGCTCACGGCACTCATGTACTTCCTGCCATTCTCACAGTCACTCATCCTCAAACCACTCCCTGCTTCATGAATTAATAAAACCCAGGTTTGGCCCTGGGTCAAGGCTCCGTTCCAGTTAGCCATCATCATGGCTGGACTTAGGACCTCTTGGCTCCCCACAGCTATAAATATGCCTTAGTGTCTTTATTCTCACCGTGGGTTGCCCTGGAAATGGTAGATTGGAATCAACTCAGTAGAATTCCAATAACTTTTCCATGCAATTATAAATATAAGCTTCCCAGACCATGGTGAGGATTAGGAAGGGCTCTCGGTATTCATGGAGAAAAGCATAGCACAAAACAGGTGTAGATGTGAGTTCATACATGACTATTAGGAGAGAAAATTAGCCATTCAGCATAATGGATTCCTTTATTATACCATTGCAGTAAGCCTGAAAAGATGGAAAGGGATACAGGAGAATTTTAAATAAATGGTTGATAAGGTATACTATTAGATTATCCCCAAGAAAAATAAGGTATATTGAGAACTTACCATGTATCAGTTACTACTATACAGGGTTCCTTCTTATTTCATTTAATACTTATAATCTAGTGATGTATGTATTTTTTTTTTTTTTGTCTTTTTGAGACAGTGTCTTGCTATGTAGTTCAGGCTGGCCTTGAGCTCACTTTGTAGCTTAGGCTGGTCTCGAACTCACAATGATCCTCCCGCCTCAGCCTCCCAAGTGCTGAGATTACAGGCATGCGCTACCATGCACGGCATGATGTATGTATTTTAATTAGTCTCATTTTATAAATAAGACTGTGCAGGTAGCATAAGTAAAGTAAATTTACTTCAGGTTATACACATAGCAGTGTAGTATTTAGAACTCAGACTCAATTAGATGGACTCTAATTAATGGTCTTAATTATATTTTAAAAACATATGTGTAGAGATTGGTGGCAGTAACAGAGAAAAGAGTTTAAACCTTGAAATCATAATGACCTCAATTTGAATTTTTCCTCTATCATGTGGCATCTAGGACACATGAAACTTCTTTCATTCTTTATTAGGACATGTAGCAGTGTCTCCATTCTTTGGTGATTCTATTCTCTGTGGGAGCCAGTGCGCGTAGTGTTGAGATGAACACATCTGAATTCCTTTCTCACCCTCTTCCCCTCCTCTCCTTCCTCCTTCCTTCCATGTCTTGATTCTTTCCCATTTGAGAAGGGTTTATCTCCATTTCCTGCTATCTATCCTCTATTTTGCTTTTTATTTATATTTTAGGTTTCTCATATAAAATATATTCAATATTTAAGTTTGAGTTGTGTGTGTGTATGTGTGTGTAATTAATTTCACTTAACATTATCATTTCAAGGGGCACCCCTTCTACACATGAAACATTTTGAGTTGAAAAATCCTTTTTGTATTTAAGTGAATAATTTTTCGTCCCTCCCTTAATCCCTCCCTTTCTGTCTTTCTTTTCTCTTTCTTTGAGAACCTAAGTGAAAGAAGCAACTTGTACAGTACACAAATCACAGGAGACAGTTAACTCTTCCAGGGTGAAATATGGTATGTGGAGTGGATAGAAGATTATAAAATTAAACTGTAGATTTTCTTAGATCAGATTACAGAGCTGGATGTGGATAATGATGTCTAGCAGCAACTTCCTACTTAACTTTTAGGTGATCTGATTCTGGTTATAGTGGGCATTCAAGCGGCACTATTGATGACCCGTTCAAATACAGAACTGAACTTAGGTGAACAGTGACTGCTAGAGCACCAGCTGCCTACCTTTGTGATAAATGAATCAAGCCCTTAAACGTGAATAAACATTTTCAAAAGGAGGTTTAAAGTGGGCCTGGGCACAACTTCATGTTAAATTGCAAGAGAAGAAATTGAAGAAGAAAATGCTCAGAATAAAATTGTGTTTTCCAGGTCTAAGTTTTAAAAGGAGTTTGCATTTCCTAATAACTAATAAATTTATTTTTTATCTGGAATATCTAGTGTCATGGAAATGAAAGTTGATTGAATATTTGTCGCAGACAATTCACAATGTGGAGCCACAGGTGAATGTTGTTTTAAATTTTATTCTTAAATAAAAATTTACCTTCCTCTTTTCCTAAAAAATAATAGCAAGTTAGAAATCTTTTCCCTTCCTCTTTTCCCACTCTTGTTGTCATGGCTACCTTTCAAATGACTTTGCATTTCCAGTCGTCTCTCTTTTTCCGAGCAGCAAGAAAGAACAATTATGCTTTTCTATAGAAAACTTATGACTGCTTTTTAAAAAACTTTCTAGTCTTTATTCCATTTTTCTCAAAATAATCTCACTGATATTCTTTATTTATCAGTAATCAAACGTTTGTTGGTACCTGCTAGATTAGAAGGTACTATTCTCCCTTGGACTTATAAAAATAAATTTTAAACAATAACTGCCTTTAATACCTATATATTTTAGAGATGAAAAATATATTGATATAGAAAACATGCACAAATCACCACAAAAAGGGATTGACACTCATGTGTGAAAAATGTCTTTATAGAGGCTGATGGTGCTGAACAAAGCAGTGAAGATAAACAGAGAAGTAAAACGTGAGGAAGAGGGAATGTTTGGTTCAAACTTCATTTTTTCTTGTTTGCACAGTACTAATGCATAATTTTGATGCATTGCTTTAACATTTATGACAGAACTTATATCATTCCTTTTATTTTTATTTGAAATGTTTTTTGACTTGGTCATATTTATTTATGTAAAATAAAACCACTAGTTATGATTTTTCATATTCATCCTATTTGAAATGTAATTGCATAGTTTATTAAAAAATGAAGGGGAAACCATATCTGGTCAGGCTAATCTCTCACCATTCAAAGGCAGAGAAGGATCCCTGCATTGCGGGGCCACTGACTGTCTGAATGTCACCCAATCAAGAAGATTTAATTCACGTACTAGTAGTTCACTTATAGTACTTTTAGGAGTTATAGCAAGGATTGCTATCTGTTAAATTAATTAAGGCTTATCAGATATCCTTGCACCATACTGCAAGGATAAACCAATTTCAGAGTTTTGGAGTAAAATTTCCAAGTCACAGTTTTGTTTTTTTGTTTTGCTTTGCTTGTTGACTTTATTACTAAGGGAATAGTAGGTGCTCAATACATTCACAAATCTATCAATGGGCACAGAAAATTTAACCTTGCTTTTGAGTAACATTGTCTTGGTGGTTTTTACCTCACAGCCTTACTTTCACCTCCTAATTCAGGTAAGCAGAGGACTGATTATAGTAACTTCTGATATACAAAATGTGGCAGGTACATATAGAGTGGTGTTGGATCAAAAGACAGAAGTCATTTTTACTGGTGGTTACAGATGCAAAACCAAGTCAGATGACCTACTGCTTGTCCTTGAATTCCCGTGTTCGTTTTACGTAAATGTATTTATTTCACCAACCCTCTCATTTTCCTGACCTAGCTCATCTGTAGTTTGAAAAAGTTCATTACTAACATCATGTTCTTTAGTTCCTTTGATGTCAAGACATTCACAAGACATACCACAACATTTTCTGCCCAACACAATCAAAGCCTTGAAGTGAATAAAAGTTTTCATATAAATTTTCTGGCAGCTATCCTATGATGTGTGGTTAATAAGTTTTCTCATTCTTATTGAAGTTTGCACAAATTAGTACTAACATTTTATGAATATCTTTGAAAATCATGCTTTTGTTATAGGTTCTGACTGAACATGTTTCAGATCTCTCAATAATGTTTTATTGTGCCCTGTGTATCACTCATTAATGCAGAGTTATAATTTTTGGTAATTACTATTTGCAAATTCTTTTCATGCTGAATTCAATAAGTTCACTTGATTTTTTCCGCCTGTCCAGAGATTTAGGTTTTCCACATTCATAATTATGCTGTCCATGACAAATAATGGGTTACTTCTTCCTTTCTGATGCTTGGGCCATTGTTCCCTAGCAAGTATTTGCAGTAAAATGCTAAATCAAAGAAGTGAGAGTGGGCACCCTCTTTCAGCTTTGATCTAGTGATGTAAATCTCACAGACTTCACCAGGGGTCATGAGTTGTACAATGAGGGTTTTATGGACATTCTTTAACAGACTAAAGAAATTCACCTCTACGGTATTTCCAATATGCTAAAGATTTATAATGTGAGTGAGTATTGAGTGTTGTGAAGTACTATTGTTCTTCATTTTTTCTTTTTCTTTTCTTTCTCTTTTTCTTCCAGTGCTGCAGATTGATCCCAGGGTCTTTCACATGGTACACAAGTGTTGCACCACTGACCTATCACTCCAATTGCACATGTTCTGCACCTATGAGATCACCATATGATTTTAATATAGTGAGCTGTGTTTATTTCTGAGTGACAAAGTAATGGAAATAAAATCTTAATCTCACTTGATTCAGCAGTCAACCAGTATTATGCAATATATTTGTATCTATGTTTCTGATAAATTTTGAGCTATAATATTTCTTTCCTATAATGTCCATATCAAGTTTTATCATCAAAATTATTTTAGCCTGGTAGAATTGGAAGTATATTTTTTACAAAATATTCTCTGAAAGAGTTTAATAGAGGTTGGTATCATTTTTTTCTTTAATTTTTAGAATAACCACCACCAATATCATCTGTGTCTAGTATTTTCTTTGTGAGAAGAAAATTTGTATTTGTATTATTTTCAAACACATTTGTTTACTAGATATAGAATAATACAATTAGTTTAACATTTTTTGTGCATATTTTAAGAAAACTGCAATTGAAAGTAATTTGGCTATTTTATCAACATTTTATTACTTAAGAATACCATTTTTCATTAGTTTCAATACAGTTATCATTTTAATTTAATGAGAATATCTTTGCTTTTATTCCTGATATTATTTGTGGCTAATATTTAATCTTCATGATAATCCTATGTTATGAGTATTATTATTATTATTAATTATTATTTTCTTACCTTCACAGAGAAGCAAATGAACCAAGAAGAGCTGAGAAGCTGCTGCTCGTGATTGCTCATCGAGGAAGCAGAGGCAGGACTGTAACCGAGGTCTGCAGCCTAAAATGCCCACATTCTTTACAACCACCTCAGTGTCACTTCAAACATCCATTGTAGACATAGCTCTGTTAATTTTGGTCCTTTCACAAAATAAATGCATACGGTAGCTGAGGCTTTGTTCAACAGAATGAAAAAAACTAGAATACGAAAAAAGTAATTATACTTTACTATGTCTCTAGAAACTTATGTATTGACATGAGGACTATTTGAATCAATTTCCACTTAACTTGTGCCTTTTTATGCTTTTCAATTTCCCATCCCATTAAAAAAAAATTCTAAATTATCCTTTAAGTGCCCATTCTGTAGTGGATTCTTTCTATTTTATTCTTCTGTATCTTCTGTTGCATGTAGGATTCCTTAACTCTGCCCACAAACATATCTATTGTATAATCACTGTAGTTGTATAAAAGCTTTCATTGATCATATATTTACATAGAACATTGGGGATATTCATAAACATCTTTTTTTCTGATGAATTATCAGTCTCTTAAGGGTCTCAAGAATCATGGTTCAGGAATCTTTTATCCTGAATGCTCAGCACAATCTCAAAGAACACATGTACTAGAAACATGATCATTGTTTAATATAGTTATTTTTGCATGCTTTTCTTATCTTTCCTAAGAATTTTTCTCTCAAGGAATCTGCCTCAGCAATGAACACTCTGCTGGATAGACCTTAAATGTACTCTCTGCGCAGTCTTGTAGAAGAAAGCGCATTGTTGACTAACACCATAGTTTAAGGCTCCAGTGTTGATTACTTTAAAGGAAGAAATACTGACACATGATTGTACAAATTCTAGTATATTCTAAGTATTTATATTTAACTAGTTAATGGTTAAGACACACAGTCTCAGACTCAATATATATCCTATATTCCCTCAATTCAAGATACCAAAGTCTAAACTTGAGGCTCTTAATAAATGTCAAACTCAAGCAAATATTTGTCTTTGTCCCTTTTCCCTCAGTATTCTCTCTGTCCTTCTCTATTCTCTTGATTACAGGTGTAGTGTCTGATGGAAAAGCCAAAACTATCCAGGGCACCTCACAAAAGGCTTAAGAAAACCCTATAGAGCTGCAATATGGGATGAACTCACTAGGTGGAGTCCCATAAAATCTTCGGTGATCTCAAATCCAACATTAAGCACTTAAGCTTGTAGGAGGCTAAAGCTTGAAAGGATCAAAGAAGTCTACTGACATTTTCGTTTTCATAAAGGAGAATTCTGAGGGCCAGCCAAGCCGCACATTGCATTTTCAGTACCCCAATTGTCAGCACACTGAAACTATTACCCTAGGTCTCTCCATTTGCTATGGTAATTTTTTTCCTGCCTGGCAATGAATGGAAAAGTGTACAGTTTAAATAAAAACAGGAGCAGTCCGCAACCAGTCTTCTTTATGGTAAGACAGGTGTTGGCAGAGCATTGATTAGCTTGGTCTGGCAGCCACACATTCTGAGCCAGAGGAACTGGGCTGAATATTGCCTGCAACAGTGCACACTGCGATGAAGACACCAGCTTTCCTCTGAGTAGACCACCAAAGAGGCCTAAGATCACTCCTGTGCCCAAAGAGTGGCAGGGATTTGGGAAGACAGTGGAAAGGGCTGTCTAGGGTTTTTCTACTGATACTCTATGGTCAGAGGACCATTTCCTGACCACTACATCCACAGAGTAAAGTGACAATATCTACTGTGCCTGGTTGGCACAAATCAGAGCAAAAACTTATGGCTATATATACCAATGTAGAGCTGTGAAGGCATACATACCAATGTATGGCTGTGCAGGCGTATATACCAATGTAGAGCTGTGCAGGCGTATATACCAATGTAAAGCTGTGTAGGCATACATACCAATGTAAGGCTGTGCAGGTGTATATACCAATGTAGAACTGGGTAAGTACATACGCACCAATGTAATGAACAGGTATCCATCAACATCTGCTACAGGAGGCAGTTCATGTAAAATGAAGCAATCTATAGTCCCAAAATGCTTATGATAACTGGACATAGTTGAAATTAATCATCAAGTTTAGTCAGAGTGCTGAAAATAATAGAAAACTTTTGTTGTGTTTTCAAATTTGGCTTAAGAAGGGAAGTCTAAAACTTATTGCCCCTGCTCTGCATTCCTATGGGATCAGAGAAACAATAACTAAAGCAACTGACTTCCCCTAGGTCAGTGATAAATCAAAGTCGTACATCTTCCTCTATGATGTTACATTTGAATACATGACTGATACCAAGCTTGGGAGTCTGCATGCTGACCTCAGTTTCACTCACAACAGGTGCTTGATTAGACTACAAGGCAAACTTAATACTCAAGATGGTAGCAACACCACATTTTAAAAAGTTTTTCAACCTTAAGATTTACTGAAACTTCATCCATCCAAATTCATGAAAGTTCCAACATCAAGAGATTTGGAATCGGGGCTGGGGATTTAGCTCAGCAGCACAGCACCTGCCTGGCAAGTGCAAGGTCATGAGTTTGATTCCTGGTACCGGAAGAAAAAACAAAAACAAAAACAAAAAAACCCACAAGAGATTTGGAATCCTGTTGGTGTAGCCACAGCAAGAGAGCAACGAGTGCTGTACAGTCCTGAAACAGTGCATACCAGGCACCAACCCCTTTCTTTTAATTTTAAAGATAATAAAATACAATCAAAATGATACAGAATTTAAAAACAAGATGATAGGAAATTACAATGGTTGTTATATTGATAGTGTCAACTTCAAAGTAGTTGCTCAGATTAGCAGATAAGAGCATGCAAGATTGATCAAACAATATAAATACTAACTGTTCCTTTCAATGAACTAATAAAAATTAGTAGTACAATTATCTTAGCTGTCTTGCGTGTGTGTTTGTGTGTGTGTGTGTGTGTGTGTGTGTGTGTGTGTGTGTTTTCCCTTTCTTCTTTTCTCCTTTCCTCCATCCCAGTTGCTCTTTCCTTTTGAGCAGTTTCTTTCCCTTTCACAACATGTATTGTACCTTTTGGATCATATTTACTCTTTCAATTTCTTAGATTAGGGAGACAATATGATGTTTATACATGTGAGTCTGATTTTTCACTTATGAATATGGTCTCTAATTGTATCCATTAACCTATAAAAGCCTCAAGTTTATGTTTCTTTATAACTGGGCAATACTCTATTGTATAAAAATACAACATCTTTTTTATCCATTGTTCAGGTGATAGGCATTTGGGCTGTTTCCCAGATTTAGCTACTACAAATTGTGCTGCTGTAAACATGGGTGCACATATATCGCTATGATAGGATGTTTTCAATTATTCTGGGAACATACCTAGAAGGAAAATAGCTGGGTCAAATGGGACTTCTAATCCTAGTTTTTGAGGAATCTCCACACTGATTTCCACAGTGGTTGCACCAGTCTACACTACCACCAATGGCAGAGAAAGATTCCTTTTTCCCCATAGCCCCTCCAACATTTATTGTTGGTTTACTTGATGATAGCCATTCTTTCTGGGGTGAGATGGAATCTCAGTGTCATTTTAATTTACATTTCCCGGATGACCAAAGATGTGAAACATTTTTTCATATATTTATTTGCCATTTGTATTTCTTCATCTGAGAAGTGTATATTCATCTCAGATGCCCATTTTTGGACTGGGTCTTTAAATTTAGGGCTTCTGACTAGAGGATGCAGACACAACTACAACCACACACTCAGCCACCATATCTTTGACAAAAGAGACAAACATATTCACTGGAAGAAAGATAGCCTCTTTAATAAATGGTGCTGGAAAAACTGGCTTTCCACGTGCCAAAGACTAAAACTAGACCCATGTCTATCACCAAGCACTAAACTAAAGTCAAAACGGATCAAAGATCTAAAAAGTAAAACAGAAACACTAAATCTACTGGAAGAGAAAGTAGGTAGAAATCTTGAAGACATGTGGTAGGCAGGGAGTTCTTGAATAAAAACCAAACTGCACAGGAAATACTTCAAAGAATCAACAACTTAGATTTCATCTTATTAAAATTTTCTGCACATCAAAAAAAAAAACCACCAACAGAGTGAAAAGAAAATCTACAAACTAGAAAAATATTTTAGCCAACTGCCCCTCAGACAAAAAATCGAGCATCAAAATCTTGAGCAAGGAAAAAGCAAGATAATTGTATGCCTGTCTTTGCCACCCAGCTCCTTGCAATTGTGCAATGTCTTGAGGGACTGATGGTCTCTGACTCTGTGATTCCACAGTGGGGTCAAGTCTCCTTGCTTAGCTCTCAGTCAGAAAAGGGAGCCTTCAGGGGCTCTAACCCCTCAAAAGAAAATTCAGCCCTGTCCTTCACACCCCTTTCTTAGGCCAGCCCTGACCTGCATTCCTTCCACCATTTTCTCCAGTATACCCCTGCTGTGGCTTCTCCCATCCTTCCAATCCAAAAGAATTTTGTTCTTTACTTTTCTGTTCTTGAACAAGAAAGCTTAATTACTTCATTGGAATTGGAATCAGCATCATCTGCCTTGGCTATTTTCAACTTCCTTTTTATAGCCTGTAATTCACAATATAAATAAACTCAAACTCAGGAAGAGAGTAGAGAAAAATAACTTAGTGTGACAGCGTTTAAACAGAGGATGACAAATAGCTCCAAAGTTACTCACCACTGCTAAACCACTAGCAGGAAACTAGGACCAATGGCACCAACTTGTTACCCTAGCTACTCTGGACCCTGAGGTGAAAGGACTGCTTGAGCCCAGAATTGAGAACTTGTGTGGGCAACATAGCAAGGCCTTGCTTAAAAGCAATTAAAAGTGGAGACATCCAGCAAGAAAGTCTAGGAGAAACAGCACTCGCAGGACACTTACGGACATGCAGGTATATAGCTTCAGAGGGTGAAAAAGAGGGTAGCTAGCAGAAGGCAACTTGAAGATGCAGGTAAACACACCAAAAAAAACCGTAGAAACAGGGGTGCTTAGCACAAAAATCAGGATGCCCCTTGGTCCCACTACTGCTTTCAGCCCAGGTCTGAACACACCATTTGGGAAACATACAAATCACTCCGGGGAAAGAACCAGAGTACAGTGGTGAATAGTTACCCAACCTGTCACTGCTCTCAGCGCCCAACAAGCCCACATCTTTTCCTGCGATGAGTTAGGGGTTCAGTGAGTGAGACATTTTGCAAGGAGGGCTTCTCTGGATCAGAGTAACGTAGAAAGCTCAAGCTACAGAGGCTGGCAGAGGGCAGCACCCATGAGCCCCGGGCCGTAGAAATACGGAGGCCGTGATCCTGAATTGGGACCTGGCATTGAGGAAAACAGGATCTGTGGAACAGCGAGAAACATG